CAGGGGGAGATAGATGGTTGGGGGTGGCTGTGGGGGTGAGGTCCACTCCTGGGCAGGCTCAGATGCGGGTGGGTGGACTGCCTCTCAGGACAGACAGGCTGGTGTACACGCCAGGTGGTCACGGGGCTCCCACCCCCTGCTCTTTTCTCACTCCCGCCTCGAAGCCAGCTCTGCCCAGAGGTGGGGAGAAATGGCCCAGTGCCCGGCTTCCCACTGCAGCCTGGCCTGCAGACCTCGGGCACGCAGCGCCCTCTCTCCAGGGGTGAGGAGTCGGAGAGCAATTAGCTTAATTGGCCTGGAGGGCCTAGGAGTGGACGGCGCCAGGAAGGGACTGTGCAGAGGGAGGGAGGCCAGGCTGTGCAGGGAGGGCTCTAGCCGCTGCCAGGCTTCCAGAGCACTGTGTCCTGTCCAGCACCGCACACAGGCTGCAGGACGCAGGCCGGACAAGGAGGCACCCAGCCAGCAGCGTGAGCAGAAGCCCTTCCCTCAGGCCTAGGTCTTGGGGATGACAGGCCCTGCCACCCAGCCTCTGCCTGCAGGTGGACAGCTCCCCGTCCCCATTCCACAGACTGGGTTGCTGAGGTCCAGTAGGTGAAGGCCATGCCCAGGTTCACTCAGCAATGGCGATGGTAGGCCAGTGCTTGGGGTTCAGGGACCAAGGGCAGTTCCACCCCAAGTGCAGGAGCCAAGGCCAGGCCAACTAGGCCATCAGCTGCAGGGCCCTGCCTGTCTCAGAGCCTCACTGCCCATTTCTCAGGCCAGAGGAGCCCTTTCATCCAGCATGGGGACGTCAGGACCCAGCAGGCAGCAGGTGGCTTGTCTAGAATAATTTGAGGCAAGTTTGCTTCAAGACCATTTACAGAAGTGTCCAGAGGGCAGGCGGAGGGATCACCAGGGACAGCACAGGAGCCTGGAGCTGGTGGCAATGAAGATGTGCCCAGAACCCGTGATGGAGGGGGGTCAGAGCAGGGCCTCATCAGAGGAGGCCAGGCCCCCCTTGGTCCAAGATGGAGCTAGCCTGAGACAGCCTCCCCAGTCAGGGAACCAGCACCCCAGATCATGCTTCCCTCCAGCCCCCGGAAGCCAGAGAGCGTGGAGTCCAGTCTCAGCCTCTCAGAACAGGGACAGGGTGACAGGTGGACAGAAGCCTGCTGGGCAGATGCCAGACGCGAGGCAGTCTCTTGGAGCACTGGGCCCAGCCTCAGGGCCGGCACAGCCGCCCTCCCTCCCTGACTTCCTTGCCCCACACCTGAGCTGGTTCCAGATCTCTGTTCATGGCCCGGGTCCCCCTGCCAGGACGAACACCACCCTCCAGGGAGCTCGCTGCCTGCCAGCCACCATGCTGCCACCCAGGAGCAGCCCCACCCGACCAGAGCCTCCTCCTGGACACAGTCTGCCTCAGTCCCCTTCCTGCGCACTCAGGGCCTCTGTGAATGCTGCCGGAACCACACTCCGTTTTCAAATGTTGAGCTCGTTGCAAACCTCCTTGGTCAGTGCCCTCGTCTGCCCCAGCATTAGGCCTGGGTCAGCCCAGGGGACAGCTGGGGTGGGGTCTGAAGGACCAGGCAGCAGGTGCTAGCGAATGTGACCCTCTCCTGGGACTGATCCAGGCCCGAGTGCCACCTTCACTGACTGCTGTGGGGTCAACACTCCTGTGATCTGCTTCCGGCTGGGAAGGTGGGGTCACTAGCCTGGAGTGGCAGGAGAAGCTCCCAGGTGGCTCCAGGGAGCTGGAACGTGCCCTCGCCGACCCATCCCCTTCCTCCCCAGCCCCCTGGGGACACAGGCAGAGAGTGCATGCAGTAGGTCAGTCCTGTGGGCCTCAGAGCTCTGGGCTCACCTGCTCTGTGAGCCTGGCCAGGCACTCGAGCGCCTCAGTAGAACTGGTGACTGCGGGCTGGGCGGGGGCTCAGTGGCAGAACTGCTGCACAGCATGAGTGAGGCACTGCATTCAATCCTCAGCACCACGCGAAAATTAACAAATAAAAAAGGAATTCTGTCCATCTACAATGACAAAAAAGTGGTGATCGTGATCCCTCCCACGTGGGGAATGGGTGGACAAACATGAGACAAGGAGGCAGAGGGCAGCACAGGGCAGGCCAGCACAGTGGGGTTCCGGAGAGACCTGCTCGGTCTGAATCCCCCACCCGAGGGTGTTGGCCAACCTCCCCAGCCACAGGGCAGGAGCAGGGGGGACTCGGCCCTGAGCCTCCTGTTCCTGCCTGCAGAGCAGAGTGACACCCACCCTGCCTTACTGGCGTGGTGTGGGGACTCAGTGAGATGGCGTGTAGAGCTCAGTCGGTGACCGTGTCCACAGGACTGTCCCTCTTTCTTTACGTGCAGCCATTCATCCACGGGGACGTGTTTGTCACGTTCCTGCTGCACAGCACACTGCCTGGTGCCTCTGTATTGGCAGGTCCCCGTGACTGTGCTCTTTAGCTCTGGGCTCAGCCCTGCAGGAACCACCACAGTAGGCTTGGTTGGCAGCTATCACACAGTCCCAAATGCAACCCAGGGAGGGGCCCTGGCGGGGAGAGAGGGATGGGTGGGGCGCCCATCCTTCCTCTGGCCTTGGAGGAGGGGGGAGCGGGGAAGATGGTGTAAGTTAGTGAAGGCGCTAATCAAATATTCATCAGTGAATCGATCTCCCCAGTGTCTGCCAAGGCCCACTGACAGGCCCGCGCCCTCCCGGCCCTGCACCCTGCACGCTCCCTGCTTCCTGTCCACCCTTTGGCCTTGCCCACCCCCCCCAGGGCCATCCCAGGTGCTGGGTCCTCTCCCACTGCGCTGGACACTCCCTTGCTCCCACCTCCCTGTCCTAGGTCCCCACTTCCCAGGCTGGACGCCAGTGTGCCAGCCAGCAGTGGGTGGCGTGGCCTCCCGGCCGCTTTGTAGCAGTAGGCAGGACCCTCCAGGCGCAGGCGTTGAGTGAGTGTGTGCCTGTGCCCGGCTGTCCTTCCCTCAGAGGGCTGGTGCTGCCCCAGTTCCCAGTGTCTATGGAGGGAGGGAGAGACCAGGTGGCTTTGCTATGGAGAAAGAAGGGAAGAGGAGAGGATTTCTGGCTGAAGCCCTCGCTTGGTGTGTCCTAGGGTGACAGAGAGGGGACAGCTGCCACTGCAGAGCCCAGCCGAGGTGACAGTGGGCACTAAGGGGAGCAGGGCAGGGCCGACTGTCCACCCTGCCCCCTCCCAACTGGTGGCCAGGCAGACATGGGCGGGGCCAGCACTGGGGAGGGCCCAGCCTCCGACCCTGGCCTTGCTCACCACGGCCCCAGTGGCAGCCAGGCTCCTTGGGGTGCTCGGTACTCTCACAGCTAATTTGGCATCAGGGCAGCTGTGGTGCGAGTTTCCCTTCCTGCTGATCAAGCTGAGTTCAGGTCTGACACACCCCAGACGCTGGAGAATCAGCGTTGGGGGACAAGTAGCCACCTAGCGAGAGATGTGACGGAGAACAAGGCCTGGCCACTCTCTGCGGGACACCCGTCCTGAGGTGAAGACAGACGAGACAGTAAAGCACGTAGGGTGGGCCTGCGGGGGACACGGGGCACATGAGGGGTCCCCCTTGGTAGGCGAAAGCCCTTGGCCTGCAACCCTGAGGCTGTGGCGGAGGGAGGTGGGTTGAGAGGACGGTGAAGAGCCAGGCCAAGGGACCCTGCAGACGTGCAGGGGAGCAAGGAGAAGACCCTCCCACGGGGAGCCCAGGCCTGGCACCCAGTGGTTGCGCACTGGCGTCAGCATAATGAGGGACGCCTGTGGTCGACGGCTGCAGGGGAGCGGCAGGTGCGAGGTGCGGGTGGCGGCCGCCCCGCTGCACAGCCCTCCTCCTCCAGCAAAGCCAGTGCAGCAGGGACTGGCGCTCACGCCTGGTCCCTCGGGAGCTGGGCCATGTGCAGCCCTTCCCGTTGGGCTGTTCCTGTAGGAGATGGCACCTGTCCTTCCAGGAGATAGACCTCCCACCACGCACGGCCTGGGTCCGTGCCTCTCTGCTCAGGGCGTGTCTGCAGTGGGGAGGCAGCAAAGCAGAGGCCCCCTCTCCTGCCTCCACTGGCCCTCGCTCTGAGGGCTTGAAGGCCCAAGCTCTTGTCTGGGGCAGGACTCCGCCAGGCTTCTCATAGGCCTCATTCAGTGGTCCTCACAAGCAGAAGCCTGGATGGGGCCAAGGATCTGCTCCTGGGGGGACTGCTGCGCTGCGGGCCCTGCACGCCGCTCTGAGGGCCTGTCCTCCCCCTCTGCCGGTGCTGGCTACTAGAAGCCCCCAGGAGGGACTAGGGCTGGCATTCAGGGAGCGCACGTCCCCTCCCCGGGCAGCAGGCCTTTGCAAGGGCAGGGAGGGGTCCTCGGGACCTCCCTGAGGACCTGGAGATGGAGGCAGAAGCTTCTGGTTGGTGAGGCTCCCGCGTGATGGCCATCTCTGGGACTTGGGCTGCTCTGCCTCCAGGGATCCAGGCTGGACGGGAAGCTTTGCGGCTGGGAAAGCAGGGCTCAGGCCTGCAGGGAGGCCAGGCACGTGCGCCAGCCAGAGGACAGGAAGGGTCCTCACGCTGCGGGGACATTGCACATCTTGACCAAATCAATGGTATCTTAGTGGTGTTGGTCTTACAGGGCATTGCTACTGGGGACACTGGGTCAAAAGCACACGGCGTCACTCTTATTCTTACAACTGCATGCGAGTCTGTAGTCATCTCAACCTAAAATGGTCTTTTTAAGTTAGGAGGGTTGTAAAGGGGGAAAAAGCACCTGAAGTGCGTTCTGAGGACTCCAAGCTGCCCGTGCTCAGGGGTGTCTCGTTCTGCACCTGGACTCCCGGTGCCCCCCAGTCCAGCACCACCTCCTGCTCTCAGCTGGGCCCCTGCTGGGGGACCAGGAAAATGCATCTGAAAGTACTAGGTGGCTACCACCAGGGCTTCTGGAAAATCTCGGCTCACCTGAAAGTCACCATCCCCATCCCCGAGGGCTCCGGGACAGGATAAGACTAAACAGGCCTTCTCTCTCCTTCTGCAGGGTAATCAGGACGCCACGGCTCCGCCTGAAGCGATGGCCCAGCCCTACCCCCCTGCCCAGTACCCTCCTCCGCCGCAGAATGGTATCCCCGCTGAGTACGCCCCACCCCCACCGCACCCCACGCAGGACTACTCGGGCCAGACCCCGGTGCCCCCAGAGCATGGCATGACCCTGTACACACCAGCACAGACCCACCCAGAGCAGCCGGGCACAGAGGCCAGCACACAGCCCATCACTGGGACCCAGACAGTGCCGGTAAGTGTCCTTCACCACCCTGGGGCCCAGCCCAGGAGTAGCAGGAGGGATGCCCCCAGAAGAGGGTGGCTCAGGAGGGCCTGAGGCAAACGGGTGGGGGGTCTAGGAGGGGACGCTTGTCCAGGCCCTTGTCCGGGGGTCCTCATCCCAGCCAAGATACTCCCAGCCTGGACTTCACAATCATCAGCCGGCACCAGGAGACAGGTGGTGAGCATGGAGGGACAGTGGCCCCCCTGCCCACCTGCAGCTGTCTCTGGCCTCCACAAACCTCTCAGCTCACCTGGGAGGTGGGAAGCCTATCCTCGGCGACCAGAGACCTGTTAATGGAAAGCGAGGGAGATGGCGGGGGCCAGAGGCCTGGCCCGTGGGGTCTCAGGGGCACGCCAGCGTGGGTGAGGGGAGGCGGCGGGGCTGTCTGGCGCGCAGGCCCCTCCTATCATTTCTAATCACTTGTAATCTACCTGCTTGGCCGCCCGCCAATCAGATAGCTTCAATTATGTGGTTGTAATGCAGCTGGAGCAAAAGTGCTGATCCCTGCACTTCTCAGATTTCCTGATGGAGCAGGAGCTGGTGAGGAGCAGTCCCACCCCGTGGGCTCCCTGTCCAGGCAGCCCCTCCCGCAGGCCAGGCCCCCCAGGCCCCGCCGGCTCCATCCTTCACTGGCCTTCTGGACAGCATTCTGCTCAGGGCTGTGGGTTCACCCTACTGCCCCTGCTGGCTCCCTCCCAGCAGCTGGCCCTGTGAGCTGGCGGGGGCCGGGCCAGAGCAGAGCGGCCGGGCCCTGGCGCCTCCGACGGCCCCCAGCTGCACTCCTCGGCCCTTCCCCCTCCTGGGCTGGCTCCCAGGATGCTGTGCACATCCAGTGTCACCCTCTCCTGCCAGCGAAGGCCTCCAGTGTCACCCCAGCTCTCTGTGGACAGAGCCCACGCAGCTGCCCCCTGGGCTGTCAGGCCTTTCTGTGCCTCCCTGGCAGACTCCCCAGAGTTCCTCCAGCTGTAAGCCACAGACACAGAAGGCCAGACCCCTGGGCTCCTAGAACTGGGAGCCAGACCATACCTCCTGGGACGCCCTGGCCCAATCCATCCCACCCACCACCTACGCGTGCTCAGAGGTGGCCCCCGAGCCAGAGAGATCCACCAAGAGCAAGTCGTGGCCAGGTGGCCCAGCTTTCTTCTGATGGACCCGCAGACAAGGCCTACCTGGCTGAATCGCCACTTCTCCTTATGAACAAATGGGAGCCTCTCGTGCTGAGCCTCAGCTTTGCCTGGAAGAAAGCCGGGGCTGAGACAGGAGGGGTTACAGGTGACACCAAGTGGGGACTGACGGAGCCCTGCAGCCTCGGGACAGCCTGGGGCCACCACAGACACCACCACCAGGACCTACGTAGAGGCCTCTGTCATTGCACATTCACCCAGACATTTGCTGAGCACCACTGTATGCCAGTCTCTGAATCAACTCTGGGGTACAGAGAAAAAATGAGCAGCCCTGTCCTCTGGCTACCACCAGACAAGGACAAAAACATCAGAAAGGGGCCTGGCTGCATGGGAGGACCCCAGAGCCAGCAACGATGGCCCACAAGGATCCTACTACATCCAGAGTAGTATTCCAGCCAAGAAAGGCCAGCCTCGCTGCTCAGGGGTTGGAGTGCCTCCTGAGGAACACACCTGGGCCAGAGAAGACAGGAGCCAGATGAGCGGGCAGCCTTGGCCTTCCTTCCCTGGGGCTGGGTCTCTTCGGGTCCTACAAAGGGGTCAGGGTGGAGATGCACGGGTCTTTCATGCTGGGATGCAAAGGAGAGAGTTATTCTGTGACCTGGGGCCAAATGCAGGCTGCAGGTGGGAGGGACTGGACCACCCTAGGAAGGAGTTCTTGGAAACATCAGGGATACCCCACGAAGACAGGGAGCCTCTGGGGGCCTGAGCCCTTGACCTTGGAGCACTCATGCAGGAGAAGCCTGCCACCTTGGGAGGGAGCCTGAGAGGACGGCAGATGCCGTCTCTGCTGGCCCAGGGTTCAAGGAGCGGCTCCCTCCCAGGGAAGCTGCCTGGTGCTGGCAGCATCTGCCTGCATCCTGTCCTTGCAGATGTGGGGACACTCTTTCAGCTCATCTGAGCCTCCTCTTGGCTTCCCCAAGCCTGATTTTAGGGTGCAGGGCTGCAGGGCTGGCCACAGGGGCGGGTGCCAAACCTTGGCCTGAAGCTCATTTCTCCCACCAGGTCCCGCTTCCCTTGAGCTCCTGGGAGGGGGCCACTCTGTGCCCTGGTCTCTTCTTTCCCTCCACTCAGTGCTCCCCGGGGTCCCCTCTTAGGTGCCTGCTCTCAGTGCCAGGTCAGGACACTCAGCCCCTGGCCCTGCCACAAGCCCAGATGTCGCAAAGGCACCAGGGCCTCCCTGCCCTTCCCTGGAGGAATTTCCTCCTGCTGGTGAGAGCACCTTGCCTTGGGCTGTCCAGGGCCAGGAGGGAGGCGCGTTCTGCAGGGCTTCCAGGTACCCATCAGTCAGCCACCCAGAGCCCCTGAAAAGGTGGCCTCTGGAAGTCCGGACCTGCCCAGACCCCAGGTGACGCAGGAGACCTGTTGTGGCCCGAGACCGATGGGCGTGTGGGTACAGGGGCTCTCTCGGTGTGCAGTTCCTCTCCTGCCGCTCCCCACGCCAGCACCCCAAGGGTACCACGGGCTGAGGCTCAGGGAAGGCTTTCCTAGGGTTTCTGGCCCCACCAGGGCTCCTCCTCCTCTTCTCTCAAGAGGCTTCCTGCTGGGAATTGGGGGTCCATGTTCCAGCCAACTCAAGGCCCTCCGGACACCTCCACCACCCAGGAGAGAGGCACAAAGACCCCAGTCTAATCCCATGGAGGGGGCAGAGGCCAGGAACCCCATCAGATGACCAGTTGTGATTGCCAGCAGCCTTGGCTCCAAGGGTCCCCAGGGCAGAGCTTGTGCTGATTTCCAAAGTCTCAGTGGGCCCAACAGGTCCTTCCCTGTGACAGCTCCTCTTCTCTGCAAGGGGACCTCCGCCAGGGGACCTCCGCTCTGGCAGAGCCCCTCTTCTTCCTGTGGAGTAGGCCGTCTGTCTGGAAGTCCCGCACCCGGAGCTCCTGCGCCTGGGTCCGCATCTCACACTGTTATCACCAGGACACGGCGGCACTCTGTGGACAGAGGGCAGCCCGGGGTGCAGAGGGGTGCTGCAGGGGGACCTGGGGACCTTACATTACTACTCTGCAGCACCTAAGGGTCTAGATGGCAGGTGCCCCCAGGATCACTCATTCATTCACTCAAGGTCATGTGAGTGTGGCAGCGCAGGGAGACCTACAGGGGTCCCCCCATCTTTGTGCTTAAGGGCACCTCAGCATGTCAGAGAAACTGATGTGCGGATAGAACATGCCGGAAGAGGGCACCTGCACCAGAGGGCTGGGGCTGGCCGGGTGGAGGAAGGTGGAGGAAGGTGGACAATGGGCCTCTCCTCCAGGAGCTGCAGCCTCGGGTCCCTGCCTTCTCCACTCCAGGGCAGGGGTGGACGTTGGCAGGAGGGTGGTTGAGAATGGCAGGAGGGAAGAGGAGTTGGCCCCACACCACCCCCACGGTGGCTCAGCCACGAAGCCACTCTCCAGGCTGGAGCGGGCGGGGCGGGCGATGCAGCCACCACCACGATGCCACAAGTGCAGAGGCCAGCAGTGGCGCTGGGAAGAGGTGGTCGTTCAAAGGCCAAGCTGGAGCACTGGGCGCTGCCAGAGGGGGGCTGCCCAGCTCCCCGTGCTGAAGAAGGCGCTCCTGGCCGACGGCTGGAGGCCACGTGCAGAGGGCCCCTCCTCCTCAGCGACTGGGGCCCACGAGGGAGAGCCAGGCTGTCCACCGGAGCCGATGGCAGGGTGGTTGACAAGGGCCCAGGAGGTCCCTGGGGGAACAGGGTGACAGAGATGGGGCTGCAGAGAAAGCTCTCCAAGAGCCGGTTCATCCTGTGCCGCGTCAGCAGAGCTTGGCTCTGTCCCCATGTAGGGGCTGCGGAGTCCTGCGGGGTCCAGAAAGGGGACAGAGAAAGCCACATAGCCTTCTTTCTCTGACTGCCTCTCTCTGTGCCGAGCTCAGTGAGGCCCAGGCCAAGAGGGTGCAGGCTCCTCGGAGTGTGGGAGAGGCACTGCACAGAGTCCAGACCCTGCCCAGCCGATAGGCGCTGACTCCTGGCCTCGAGTGGGTGGAGGCCGGAGGGGGAGGCTCCATAACTGCTGGGGCGAGACCCAGTGATGAGGCGACCCTGAAGCAAAGCCACCACACTCCCGGGGGGACACAGCTGTAGTCTCCGTTCTCCCTACGTTGGAGAACTGGAAGCACAGACTGCTTTAAAAACAAGTCGGGGAGCCTCAGAAAGCCGCGGGGAGGAGGCGGCTGAGCCGCTGTGATAAATGGTGGGCAGGCCTCCATCCCGCGCAGGGGCAGGGGCAGCGTGCAGTGACGCCCGGGCTTCTCAGCACCCCTTACAGTTTACAGTCCCTGGGCCCATCCATCTGCCTGTCCACAGCTTAGCTAAGGGCGGGGCAGGCAGGGGGCCTCTTCCTGAGCCCCGACACCTCACGGCTCACACCATGTGCATGCCCCTCACCCCTTTTCTCCTGACCTGTGCCCCTTTAGAGCCTTTGAGGTGGGGTGTGGTGGTCCGGTCACCCCAACTTCATCAGCACCAGTCCCAGGCCCCCTCCCCACTGGCCTTCTCTGGGGAGGGCTTCCTCCATCCTCCTGGTAGCACATGGCTGCGCTGACCAATGCCCTCTGGTGGTCCAAAGCCAGCACTGCATGTCCCTATCCAGGCTGGATTCCCAAATCCAGGACACTGGTACCAAGAGCTGCTGTGGAAGACACGGGTGCATGGAATGCACGGGGAGGGGCGCACTCCATGGCAGGCCCCTGTACCACACCTGCCGTGGCCACACAGTGAGCTCAGACCTATGCAAGGCCCTGGCATGCTTGGGCAGTGCTGCTTCCTGGGCAAGGCCTGCGTCGGCGGGGCAGCGGCACCGGAAGCTGGGTGTGGGCCTTCCAGGCCTTCAGGAGGAGCCCCGTGTGCCCTCAGAGCCCAAGCCTGCTGCCCTGCATTGCCCCACAGAAGTGGGGCTGTCACGCAGGCCGGGCTGGCAGTCTCCAGAGGCTTGTCCGCCCCCTCCCCCACCAACTCTTCCTGCCACGAAGCCGTCCGTCCCACGTGCAGCCCCCATGGATGAGCTCCTGGGTTGACCTTTGGCCCAGCTTGCGAAAGCCCAAGGCCCTGCCCACTCCAAGAACCTGGCCACTCAGCCCCTCAGGGGCAGCAGTCCAGGTGACATGAGACCAGGGTATAAGCTGATGGCCCTGGGGGTGGGGGCGCCTGGCTGCAGCCGCCCTGACCTGTGTGTGTGCCGCGTGCTCATCTGCCCGCACAGGAAGGCATTGTGTACAGGGGACAATGTGCTCCATACCCTGCAGGCTCCCAGCTCCTGCCTGGGCTCCAGGGGCCATCACCAGGGCCCTCTGCAGCTTAGGAGGTGCAGGCTCCTGGTCACCTAAGGCCTCCAGCTGCCCTGAAGCCTGGTCAGAGGCCTCCTGTTGAGCTCAGGAGTAGGAGCGAGTGGCCCAACCTTCCAGAAAGGGGACAGAGAAAGCCAGGTAGCCACTCGAGTCCATTGCCCCTTAGCTGCCGTGTGGCCTGAGGGGGGCCACCTCCTGGGCTCCATTTCCCTGACTGTGGTGTAAGGCCTCAGCCCCACTCACCGTCCACTCCAGGAGGCAGCCGTCCTGAAATGGCCTGAGCAAACCAGGCGCTTCCTGGGGACCCTGGGGACCCGCTCTGGGTGTCTCTGGCCAGCTTCCCCTGCACTGCCAGGCTGGCTGCCTCTGCTCCTAGGGCCACCCGGGAGACCATGGCCACCAGCTCCTCCACTTGTCCCAACTGCAGCACAGACCTCCTGGCACCCTCTGTCTGTGCCCACAGAGGCCCAGGGTGGCTGGAGCCAGACACCCCCACCCAGTGCCATCAGCTGGTACCTGTCCCAGAAGCAAGTCAGAGATCCAAGTGCAAGCCATGTGTCTGGAGGGGGTCCCTCAAAATCGCAATGACCAGCAGGGAGTTGAGGCAGGAAGGGAACGCCCCCATGGCTGGGTGCCCACGCCCGACGTTGGCCACCACTGTGGACACTCCGCTGCAGTGCTGCCCACCACCTGAGCAGAGCAAGGTGCAAGGCTGGCTGGCCCTCTGTGGCCTGGGGTGTGAGCGTGACTGGCAGGTGAGGCCTCAGGCCTGGCGTCCAGGACCGGAGCTCGCTATCTGCCCTTGCTGTTGTGGATGCATTAGCACTGAGCCAGGTTGGAGGCCAGCCTTGTGGTGAGCTCGTGGCCTGACCACCAGATGCAGGCAAGGCTTCTTTCATGCTGCCTCAGGACGCCTGGGCTTCTAACTGGGAACTGTGAGGGGAGGGCTGGCGCATGGGCAGCTTGTTTTCTGAAAGTCCCTTCGGAGCCCCTGTGCTGGCCAGCATTTGGACCTACATGAGGGACAGACCTTGCTGTCAGGCTTTCAGATGGGTTCCTAGAGGGCCCCCAGGGTCCTGAGTGGCAGTAGCAGGGCTAGAATAAGAGGGAACCTCTGCAGGAGCTCGCCATGAGAGGCCTTTACAGATACATGTGCCCAGAGGCCTGGTTCTGAAGTCTATCTGGCCGAGACAACACCAGGGTCTCTACACCCCCAAAACATCCTTGAGAGCAACAGTGCTCACTGGGACTGAGTGGCCCTTGAGGTTTCCCCTCTGTGGTCAGGCCTGAGCAGACGAGCTCACAGCAGGCGGCCGAGGAGGCCTGGTGCTGGGATGGCAGGAGGGAGCTGGCCTCGCCTGTGCATCTGGGCAAAGTCTCAGAGGTGGGTCCTCGACGTGGAGACGCCGAAGTGTGGGAACTCGGCCCAGATCCTCGGTCTGGGCCCAGGCCCGGGACCGCCTGCTGCAGACGGGGTGAGCAGGCCCCTCCACAGCCAGGTCCTCTCCCCACAGCAGGCAGATGAGGCGGCACAGACGGACAGCCAGCCACTCCACCCCTCCGACCCCACAGAGAAGCAGCAGCCCAAGCGGCTACACGTCTCCAACATCCCCTTCCGGTTCAGGGACCCCGACCTGCGGCAAATGTTCGGGGTGAGTGTGCCAGGGCCCATCTATCCTGCCAGCCTGCACTCAGCCCGGGTGCCAGAGCAGCTTCCCGGTGCGGGTGGAGAGGTTCCAAGAGTCCTTCCTGCGTAGGTCCAGCTGGCTGGAGCTGTGGGGCAGGGCAGGAAGAGGGTCTTTTGTGACTACCCCTGTCCCCCACCGTCCCCATTCCCCACCAGAAGTCCACCTTCCACCCATACCACCTGTCTTCAGGAACTTGTGGAGTCCCCTGGTCGTGGCAGCGGGTTTGGTCATTCTCTGCCATCTAACTGCTGTCCCCTAGCACCTGGCACCTGCAGGCCAGCCCGGCCTCTGGCCTCACACAGAGCAGCAGCCCCAAGCAAGACCTCCCCTGGGTGCCTGGGGACAGGGTGCCCCCTCTCTCTGAGCCTGTCAGGTAAACCGGAGGTGCCTCCTAGCAGCCCAGAGATGGTCAAATCCCAGTCCCCAGGCCAAGGTGACCATGGAAGTCCACTCCCTCCTTGACTTGGAGCCCAGACTTGCCGAGGGCTAAAATGATTCAGAATTGGGGGTGATGAGCACCCTGCATCCTCCCGACCTTGGGGCCTAGGGCTCTTCTCCGAGCCTGTGCCTGGGTAGAGCCACTGACAGTTCTGAGCTCTCCCCAGCCCAGGCCCTTGGCCGGCATCTGCTTGCTGGGTCCCTTTAGTGCAGAGACAATGTCCTGCACTTTCCAGAACCTGAGAAATTGGGGGCTTGCTGTGCTGGCTCGCTGGGCCTCCAAGGCTCTTGTCCAGCCCCTGGGGCTGCTCAAGGGGAAGGGGACCGCGTCAGTTGCCGGCATGGGCTACAGGTTGAGCCCCCGAGGACCTGGTGGGGTTATTCAGGGACCTGGCTCACAGGCCCATGGCCTCACATACCAGTGAGAGACAGGCGCTCACAGGGACTTTAGCTGGTGATGGTGCAGGAAGGGGTAGCCAGAGTGTCCTGGCCTACTGCAGTGTGTCCTACCCAGGGGCCTGGGCTCTGGTCCCTGCTGCTCTGCACCTGACATAGCCCGGCCCACCCAGCGCAGGCAGCGCAGGGTCCTGCAAGGCCCCAGTGTAAGGCCCTGGACCCCCTCCCTGGTCCCTCTGCCCTCCTCTCCCCTCATCTTCCCCTCCTCAGCCTCCTCCTCCTCCCACCACCCCTCCTCTCCTCCTCGCCATCTCAGGGAAGCCTGAGGGTCCCTTTCCCAACCAAGGGTCCTGACGCTGTCACCTCACCCCCATTCCTAGCCCCAGCTCATGCCACCCCCCTCCCCATCCCACCTGTGGAGAGGGGCCCCAGTGACCTTCACCCTTTATGACAAGTGAGGAATGGCAGTGATGCCTTGGGCGTCCCTCCCCACATGGCCATGTCCCAGAGGACCCTGGTGATACAGCACCCCGCATCCCCAGTCCAACCGGCAGTGGGGCCAGTATCCTGCACTGCCCCTCAAGAGGAAGACCCAGGCCTCCGGGAGAGGGTGTGGGCGTCCCTGCCAGCCCTACTGTGGAGGGGGAAGGGCCCTGGGGCTCTGGTCTCGCAGCCTGGGGGGCGTCTCTGGAGCGGAGTGGACGGGTCCTGTCCTAACCCTCTCTCCTGTGTCCCTGCCCTCCCCTCTGCTTCTATCTCTGCAGCAATTCGGGAAAATTCTAGACGTGGAGATCATTTTTAACGAGCGGGGCTCCAAGGTGGGTGCCACGCAGAGGCCGCCACCATTACCGCGCCAGCTGTAGGTCCTGCCAGGCTAACTGTGAAATGTGCGTTTCCTTCTGGAGAGCTTCGCGCCCGAGGACCCCGGGCGACAGGGTGCTTGTCTCCCCGCGCTCCCGCCCGCCCCCAGCTGTCTGTGTTGTTGCTGCTGTTTCTCTCTGAGCTGCCAGGACCCTTGCCTGTACCCCAGCGCCCCACCCTGGGCCTGGGTCCCCCCACCCCCCACTCACCCCCAGGGCCGCAGGCCTGCCCTTGGAGATGGCCTGGAGGCTGGGGGAAGGGGCTGCAGGGTGGGCCAGCTGGGAGGGTGCCCGGCAAAGACAAGCCCTGTCGCCCCTCCAGGAAGGCGAGACCCCCACCCCAGGCTCCTAGGGCAGGGGTGGGTGGGGCTGCTTCCCCGTGTGTCCTGAAGCCCAGCCCTGGCCCCCGCCTGAGGAGGGGTTGGGGTGCAGGCCTGGCCCCTGGCCAGGTCAGCATCTCTTGTAGCTCTGGCCTCTCCCCTTAGAGGGGCAGGCGATCAGCTCCAGTCGGGCTCAGGCCGGGCAGCAGCTGCCCCCGCTCAGGGCCCACACGCCCCGAGCATCCCGCGGTGGCACCAGGACAGACCTCTGGGCTGCCCGAGGCTCTCCGACTCTCCTGACTCGGCCCTCTCTCCCCCTCCCCCTCGCCCTCTCCCGTGCCCCCTCCCCACTCCTCTCTTCCCCCTTTTCTCATCCTGTCTTCTCTCCGTGTCTGTCCTCCTCTGCTCACAGGGTTTTGGGTTTGTAACTTTTGAAACTAGCTCAGATGCTGACCGAGCCCGGGAGAAGCTGAATGGGACGATCGTAGAGGGACGAAAAATTGAGGTGCTCAGATAAGTGTGCTGCGCCAGGGAGGTCGCTCTGGGGCCCCGCCAGCCCGCCACTGGCCGCCCAGCAGAACCCCGCCAGGGTCCTCTGCGGCAGGAGCAAGGGCCACACTGAGGCCAGAGCCCCATGGCTGGCCTCTGGCTGAGCCCACTGCCTGGGCTTCAGGCTCCCCAAGGTCCCTCCCCTCCCCATCCTTCCACTTCCCAGGAGAGCCCTGTCCCCAGCCAGACTCCAGGAAGCCCCAGAAACTGTGTTTGAGGCTTAGCAACTTGAAGCAGAGTGGCTGCCTGTCTGTCCCCATTGGCAGGCGGCTGACTCCACCAGGAGCTGACTCCAGGCCCTTCTCAGCAGGGAGCAGAGCTGCCCCTGCCCACCCCCCACACAGGCCCTGTACTGCGCCCCTGGGTCCCTCGGCCTTCACTCCCAGCTCCTGCTGGATACAGGCAGAGGCAGCAGCAAGTGACCCGAAGGGCAGCCAAGGGCCTGCCAACCCCACTCCCCCTGCCTCAGTGGCTCTGGTGGTCCCCAGCTGGGTTCCAGACAGGCAGGGCCTCCAGGAGAGGCTGGAGGCCGGAGGCAGCTAAGGAGGAGCCCGCGGGCAAGAGGAGGGAGGTTTCAGAAGCCAAAGGTGTTCAGTGGGCACTGAACCAGCAGTGCCCAGTGGGCTCCAGGGGACACAGCCCAGGCCCTGTCGGCTCACACCAAGGATGTGGGAGCAGGCCGTGTGGCCCGAATCCTGCCATGGGCACCGCCTGCCCTTTTCCCTACTCCCTTCCACACAGGCTCCTGTCCACTGTGTCCCCCTGAGCAGTCTGACAGGCCCCTGGGTGCCCTCCTGTCCAGAGCTCCCACCTGCCTTGCCCACCCCGTGCACACAGACCCCAGCAGAAAGCTGGGTGCCCAGACCAGTTGAGGACCCTGACCTGAGGGGGAGGGGTGATCCTTCTGGGGGCAGGGAGTGGCCATTGTACCTAGGAGGGCCTCAGCAGCTTCCAGGGAGAAAAGGTCTTGGAGGCCACGGGCGGCTGCTCCGGGGGCACTTGGGGAGCTGGCAGCGAGCTTCTCCTACAGTCCTGGGCTGCCAGAGAGGCCGGGCTCCTTACTGGAACAGCCCACGAAGAGCAGGAGGTGCAGGTCTGGACCAGGGGCCTTGGGCCAGGCCAGGTGGCAGCCTGGGCGCCCTGGGGCCTCCCTCCAGCTCCCAGCCCCCTCCCCGGAAACCATGGGGAGGCAGGAGCAGCATGGGCAGGACTGGGTTAGACAGTGGGCCTGCGCGGAGGCTGACGCTCCCTCCCCTCCTCTCTCCCTCTCTGGCAGGTCAATAATGCCACAGCCCGAGTCATGACTAACAAGAAGACCGGGAATCCCTACACCAACGGTAAGGGGCACAGGGCCCCGGCAGGCTGCAGGGGCCAGGCAGAGGCCCTAGGACTCTTGGCCCCAGGGAGCCAAGACTGCTGCAGGGTAGCCCTCCTAGGTGCTGTCCTCCACTGCTGCTGACCCAGCTCTCCTGCTTCTGTCCAGCTAGAAGTGGTGGTCAACTGAGGCAAGAGTTCTAGGGTGACCACCTCCACCCGTGCATCAGAACGGAGCCCCTGGTACCCCAGAGGCCATGTGAATAGTCTTTGGGCACCGTGGAATCGCCATGGCCTCCTGGGTGCTGGCATAAGTTCACCCAGGGGCTCACATTGGAAGGGTTCTTGGTCAGACCTGCTGCCCTGACATAGTATGCACACGCTCAGGAAGAACTCGAGGCATGCTGGATGATCCTGGACAAGCTTCTAGACCTCTCTGAGCTGCAGTCTGCTCATCTGCAAAGCAGGAATAGTGATATCCATTGCCCAGGGCTGTTAAAGGGCAAATAATGCTCTAAGTGCAGCCTAGGGTCCAGAGGCAGAAGTGCTCGGGATCAAGTGCGACGCTGTGGAAGGAGCTGTGCCCCTTGGGCTTTAGAAGTGTTGACGATGCTGTGAGCACCAGGTTGACCCCGCAGTCCCCGAGTTAACTGCCTGGTCACATGTGTGCACCTGACTGCAGCAGGGTGCAGGGTTTTCCTTTAAGCACCTTTCCTTTGAACATCGGCCGATGTTAAGAGCTGGCCATGGAAACCCTTGGAGGGATGGCTGGTGGCCACTGCACGCCTTAGTTCCACAAGGCCAGGGGACTGCTTCGAACACTGCAGCCACATGCCAAGGCCTTTTCTAGATCCTGCTGCCCATAGTCAGGACAGGTCTCTCTGCAAGCCACCTACCCCTGCATAGGGACAGGGTGCACCACATCACATCCAGCCACTCCTGTCCCCATGTGATCTGCCCCACATGGAGTCAGGTGACCAACCAGCACAGAAGCCTGCCCCGGGGCATGGGCCAATCTGATGCATGTGTCAGGTCCTAGAGGAGGAGAGGGGCTCTGGCCAGGCCCAATTAGAGTTGAATATTGTGTCCTTCCTCCCAGATTTTTTGAAGACTCAAATTTCAAGTTCTTTCTAAAAACTAGCAGTACCCCAGCTTTGCAAGTGTCCCCAGTACATTATGGCTGAGACTTCTGTGATCTGGTGCTAGGCAGGAGAAGTAAAAGTGTTGACACAGGAAGTAGGATTTACTCGTGGGCATGATGAGTGGGCAGCATAGTAGAAGCCCTCATGAGTGCAAGGACCCACATTTGTTTAGGGGCCCATGACTAGGGGTGCATCTGACCCCACAACCACCCTGGGACAAGTTGCTTCTCAGTCACTACATTTCCAAATTCATCCACTTTAAACCTGGTAAAGCCCTACTTCATTGCAATGTGGCGATCAAAGAACTTGAGAGGATTTGAACTTGGCCCTGCATAGGGTGTCAATCACATGCTCCTTGTTCTGCAGCTGGTGCAGGTGGACATGGCAATGGGCCAATGTCAGTGCTACACACTTGCTTCGGGGCTTCCCAAAAGCACCCCAAATAACTGACTAAAGCTCAAACTGGGAGCACAGGGCAGAGTCAAGGGCATGCAGTGCAAATTCTGCCTCCAAGGTCCCTTAGGCCAGCCATCCAAGCAACAGCTGCATATATTACCAAGGAGGCTGTTGTTTGCAGCCATTGCAAACACTGGGCCCCCACAAGGAAAGGAGCCCCATTGACTTAATTGGCTGCAGAGAACAGTAGACATGTTCACAGGGTTAGGCTGATCAGCAGGGTGCCGTGACACTACTGGAACACTGCCCACCCTTCACTCAAGAGCCTGCCACTGCTCTCTGGGCAGCACCCGAATGCTGACAGTGAGGAATGTCGAGTGGAATTCATCCCCAGCCAGCTGTGCAGTTCCTAAGGGTCTGTCACCAGTGCTGGCCAGATGTTGGGAAATGGAGAGTGGCAGAACCTTTGTGTACCTGGCTGCAAGAGCAGTCTCACTGAAATGCCTTCACAGAGCTAGGCAAGAATCACAGGGCTGCAGGGGGGGTGCCTAGACCCCGGCAGGCTGGCCCAGAGTAGTCTGAGCATGCTCACCACTCTGAGCTCGCTGAACTTCAGGAGAGGGCAGAAGTTCCCTCCGCAGATGACAAACACACCAGCTTTGACCAGGTGTTCCTATTTACAACTGAAACAGGGGCCACCCCGTGGGCCTCAAGATGCCTCTGTGAGCTGTGGGGCTCCAGGCTAAAGTGGGGCCAGCAGAGAGAGGTGGAGGTACCTGGACAGCCAGAACTGACAGGGGCATCCAGGAAGCCAGAGTCAAGGTCCCAGGGCCCCTGAAGCAGACATTCGCCTCAGAGTCTCCCTCATCTAGGGTGGCGCCGGGGGAAGGTGCACCTGGGATAGCCTCAGGGCTCACTCCATCATGGAAAAGCCCACTCTCCTTTTCTAAACTTTGATTTCTGGAAGACTCCAGAGTCCCAGCCCTGACATCCAGTCTAGGTGGAGAGATGGTGGACTGGGCATGGCAGGCAGCTCAGTCTCCTGGAGGGGCTGGAGAGGGGTCCCCGGATGGCTCTCATCTACCTACCCTGTGATGAGGCTATTAGAATCTGGGTGAGGGGCTGTCACATGCAGTCCATGTGGAGAAGAGCCACCCTCTCCAGGATGTATCTCACCAGCTGGCTGGCAGGTTTAGGTCCCCCCTGTCCCTCCTCACAGTGCTGAGGTTGGGCCTGGCCCTATCCTGTGCCTGGCTGGTGCTGCTCAGAGCCAACCGATCTCCACTCCCAGAGGCTCCAGGTGGAGTCAGACCTTTGTGCCTTGGTCCTCTGTGAGAGGACGGCCCCACCTGGGAAGGGGAGGACTGGCATGCAGATTCCAGCTGGGGATCCTGGGAGAGGCCTCACACCTCCTTCATGGCCAGTCTTCCTGCACCTCCCTCAGCCTCCATATCTTCTACAAAGTGGGAAGGGTGTGCCATCCACCTCGTGGGTGGTAAGGACCCCATGGGCACCAGACCTGGCAGGAACTGCAGACGTCATCACCCTTAGTCCAGAGCCAGTGGCCCTTCCTCTCCCTCCTTCAGGGGTCCTGCTGTGGACAGGAGGATAAGAGGGCAGAGCCCAAGACTTGGCACTGGGAAAGGGAGCTCCGGAGCAGAAGGGAGATTTGGGGACAGGAGTTGGGGAAAGAGCCCCAAGACAGAATCCCTCCTTGCAGCCGAGGCTGCGCTCCACTCTCCCTTGAACCGGAAACTGCTGGGGCTGGTGTCCTGGGCGCCGGTGTGACATGTGGGAAAAACGTCCGGAGGGAAGTGGGTGCAGGGTCGGCAGAGCCGCACTGGGGGGTGTTGGGGCAGAGCGAGGGACCCGGCCAGCCCTGGGACGTCCCCGCGACTCTGTCCTAAGGTGAGGCGGGACGGGCTTGGGAAGACAGTGACTGGGCCCTGTCTCTGTTCTAGGCTGGAAGCTCAACCCCGTGGTAGGTGCAGTCTACGGACCCGAATTCTATGCAGGTAAAGGCAGGGGAGAGGGGCGGGGCCGGGAGGCCTTGCTCGGGTGGGCGGAGCCGGGCGCGGGTGGGCGGAGCCGGGCGCAGGTGCGCCTTCCCGCGGCCACTCTTCTCTCGCGCCCCTTTCCTGCAGTGACCGGCTTCCCCTACCCCACCACGGGCACAGCCGTTGCCTACCGGGGCGCGCACCTACGGGGCCGGGGCAGGGCCGTGTATAACACGTTTCGGGCCGCGCCGCCTCCGCCCCCGATCCCGACTTACGGAGCGTGAGTACCCGGAGCGGGAAGCCGGGGGACGGAGGGGCGCGCGGGGGCGGCCTGTGCAGCGGCTGGGGGGTCTCCGCAGCCTTAACAGAACTGGGGATACGGGGTGGCGGGAGCCCCAGAAGGTAGCGCTGCAACCGCCCGCATCCCCACTACCCCACCTCCCCCACGGGGATACCGCCAAGGGTCACTGGCATTTAGGGGTCGCTTAGCGCCGGAACCTGTTCCGGATGCTTTCAAGGGGGGAGTTGTGAGCCCTTGGGTCCACAGCGAGGCACTTCTTCGAGCCCTCTCTGGTCCTTCCCCGTGGTCCAGTGTCCTCCCCGCTGAAGGACTGCCTGGGGGAGGGGGGGAGGGCAAGCCTGACTGGGCCGATGGGCCCCTGGGTTTTTGGGAGAAAGGAGCTGACCAGCAAGGGTGTTACTCTATTGTTATACCAAACAGGGCACTGGAGCAAACGCTTGTTAAAATGCCAGTCCCGTGGGCGGGGCTGGCACCGTGCCCCCTCCCTCCTCAGCAGACACCGGAGCCGGCCTACCCCACCTCTCCAGCGTTCCCACCACTCTCTTGTCCGTTTGCTTCCAGGGTCGTGTATCAGGATGGATTTTATGGTGCTGAGATTTATGTAAGTGCAGCCCTGGAAGGGGAGGGTGGTGTAGGCTATTCTGTTTGTCTCTGTGAGCAGTGTATCCCCTCTAGTGGCCCCACTCCTCCTGGCCCCCTCCCATCCTTAAGAGGGCGAGGGCACTGATCTGCACAACCTGGCACCCCTGGGGAGTCCAGCCAGGCCCAGTCTGGGTTGTCAGTTTGCATCGAGGGAGTGGTATTGGGTCTCCCAGCAGCCCTATAAGCTAAAGGCATTTTGTCTGTTTGGCAAGGACTGTGATGGGGCAGTAGCAGCTCTTCCACTTCTAAGCACACTATGGTCAGTGAGTGAGCCCCCAGGAACACCCCTGTCCAGTGTGGAGGCCCCAAAGAGGCCAGGAAGCAGGGCCACAAGTTGCCTTTGTTCTTGAGCCTATATCCCCCGGAGTCCTATGGCTTCTCTCTCCCTTCTTGGGGCTGCACGTACTGCTTCCTCTGGCTTGGAGCCCTCTCATCTGGCCCTGCCCCTGCCCTGAGCAGTCGTCCATTATTGCATTACCTGCTCATCTGAGCCCAAGACATCTCTGAATTAATGCCTTCTTGAACCCTTTGCCCTTGTCCATTCCTAGTGTCTAGGTTAGCATCCAGAGCTCCCCAGGGTTCTCTTTCTGCACCCAAGTCAGGAGGTGGCCTGTTGGTAGATCTATGGACACCTGAGATGTGCCATAGGCCAGCACACGGCCAGAGGCAGGTACCCGCTAGTGTACTGAATGCACTACCAGGTGCGAGAATGGAGGGATGAATGGCATGAACAGATAGCCCTGCTTCATCTGGAACCATCCACTTGACAATCCTCAGATCTCCATTAGACCAGAAGCCAGGTGCCCAGGCCAGGCACCACCTACGCTGCCCCAGGCCAAGGTGGAAGTTGAAAGGCTGGGGACTGAGGAGGTCCATAGCCCCGCCCTAGGGCCCAGCCCCACAGGGTGTGTGTCTGCCCCAGGAAAGGCCCTGGCTGGGCCTATCCCTGGGTGAGCCTCACTAAGTGCCTCTGCCATCTCTTCCTCCTTCCTCCCCGCAGGGAGGCTACGCAGCCTACAGATATGCTCAGCCAGCAGCAGCAGCAGCAGCCTACAGTGACAGGTGAGGCATGGGGAGACGACAGTACAGGGTCCCGGAAGGCTGGGCCAGACACACAGGAAGACTCGGTGCCACTCAGGGGCTGGGGTACTTGTGCCTCATGGGTGCAAGATTGCAGGAGAGCAAGTCCCAGTGTGGCTCAGAGACCCTGGAGCCAGTGAGCCCTTGACTTTAGTCGCTTCCTATTTGTACACTGGGGAAATGGGGGAAACCCCCAGTTCTTAGGCAGCAGTTAACACCTCAGGTAGCAGATTCCCATCCCTGAGGTCTGACACCCCCTGCAGCTCTCAAGGCCCCAGTGAAGATAATTTGGAGCCTCAGATTGGCCCCTGGAGACAGCTCTGGTCTTCATTAGCACTTTTAGGACTGAAACGCTCTAGCTCAGAGAAGGGAAGGTGCCCAGCCCCCTCCCCCACGGAATGGGATGAGATCAGGTAGGCAGTGTGCACCCTCTGGGAGCAGCCAGCCCTCCACCCCTCAGTGAGCATGCCCAGGGAGAAGGCTGTAGATGCCAGGCTTTGTTTCAGGGGGCAGGGCCTCAAGTACTTCCCCCGTGGAGTGGCTGTGCCCAGGGCCTCTTCCCTTGGTCACTGGGCCTGGTGGACACAGAGTTCCTGTTGGGGCCATACAGGAGCACTTCATCGAGGGCTGCTGTGGCTCTTGTCCACACACCCACTCTGACCTGGGGCCGCCTGGCCCTCCTTGCATCATGGCATGCAGGGCCCCGTGGCCCAGCCTGTCCTGAAAGAAGCTAAGAAGTCACTACAGATAAATGGGGTGAAGGAAGGTCATCTGGGGACACACTGCCACCTCCTTGGTGGCCGTGACTCTGGTTGCCCCAGGTCCCTCTCTGGAACCGTTTCCCAGCACTTGGTTCCTGTTCTTTGGGGGAATGAAGTCTATTTTCCTTCCAGACAAGCTCAGGGAGGACTCTTTTCCCTGCTCCAGGTAGCGCTACGTAGGACACGTTGCCTGTGGTCAGGTCAGCGTACACTGGGCGTATTGAAAGGGTGTCCTGTTGGGTTCCAGAAACTTCCTTCCAACAGGGAGGAAGGATGAACCGTGAGGGCCTTGTGGGAGAGGTGGGGGCCTGTGGCTGGTACCCACAGAAGGAGGTTCATTCAGTAACTGGTTTGGAGGCTATGGGAGGCCTGCTGCCCCTCACCTGCCCCTCCCCTGCCCCCTCCCTGCGGTGCCTTCCCCTAGTTACGGCAGAGTCTACGCAGCTGCTGACCCCTACCATCACACCATCGGCCCTGCGGCGACCTACAGCATCGGAACCATGGTAAGAAGTCTGGGTCCACCTGGCCCCTGGCACCAGTCATGGCAAGGAGGCCACATAGGTGTGGCCAGGCGGGTGGGGAAGGGCCCTTCTGAGAGGCCAAGACCTCCAGCCAGTGCCTCATCCTGTGACCTTGGAAGGACCGCAGCATGGACTCGAGTTGGGGTGGGAGAGGGCTTGCCCCTTGGCACCCTCTCCCCGTTGAGGGAGGCAGGTCTGACCAGATGGGAAGCACCCCTCTGGACCTGTTTTCCTGAGCCCATAACCAAAGTCCTGTCAAGGCCCCTCGTTTCCCACCACCAGGAAAGCCAAAGACCTGTCCACAGCCCCTGCCCTTCACAGAGGTTCCAGAGGTGGGGCTGCTTGCTGCTGGGGGGCAGACTGGCTTCCCCTGGGGGGTGTTTGAGCCCAGCCCCTCCTCCAGCTCATAGGGGAGGGGACAGAGACCACCCACTGTCCCTCACCAGGCCCCTCCTCCTGGACTTTCCAGGGCTGCAGGGCTTCTGAGGAAATGGCATCCGCTTCCCAGTGGCCTCATCCCTGAGGGGTGGAGAGGGCAGTGCAGGGTGGACACCTCTGCTACCAGAGGCGTGTGGCCAGTGTGTCTGTGTGTGTGTGTGTGTGTGTGTGTGTGGCCAGTTGTCCACGTGTGGTCCAGCTCCCTCTGTGCCCCAAATCTGCTTCCAGTGCACACCCACCTCCTGTGCCCCGGCCCCAGCAGGGTGCTGATATATCTGTAGCCAGCCTGGCCACCTGCATCAAAGATGAAAACATCCTGGGGGAGTCGAGGGAGGCGTCCAGGGGAAGGAGAGCTGGGCACCCCCCTCCCTGGTTTTGATTACTCCCTCCCAGTTTTTGCTTTGCCTTTTTTTTAATTTTAACAAACCTCGGACATCGGAGCAGCTGTGAGCAGCCAAGGAGGGCAGGCTCTGGAGAGGCTGCCATGGCCCCCTGGACGAGGCCCTGACCTGTGGCTGCAGCCCTGGGCTTCCGGCACAGGGGCCCTCAACGCAGCTGCTAGCTAAAAGCGTTCATTGATTCTCAGAGGGTTCCTCTTGTATTTTCACTTTTTTACTTCTGAGATTTTTCTATTTTCCCCCCAGTTTTTCTTCTCTCGTATTTGCCATTTTCTTCCCTTTTCTGGCAAAACTGGTGGGGGTGGGGAGGCCCAGGATAGCAAAGGCAGGAGCCCCCGAGACCAGACCTCCCTGGCAGGACACAGCGCAGCCCAGCAAGCCCCCCACACCATGACCTTGCCAGTCCCCAGAGAGGCCCTCTGAAGCTGGGCCATCAGGAAACCCCGTCAGGAGCTGAGAAAGTGGGGCTGTCCTTGGGACCTCCCTCTGCCGGAAGACAAGGGGATGGTTCAAAAGCCTGTGAGTCAGGAGTGCCCCTCCCGGCCCCAGCCACTCCACATAAGGACCAGGCCCCTGCCCCCCTGTTGCCATGACAACATGACACCCACTCTTCCCAAGGACAACTAAAAAGGGGAAAGAAAACGGGATTTAGCAATTTCTCTTTTTGTTTTTCCTTGTTTTTTTTTCTTTTTGCTTTTTCTCCCCTTACCCAAGGACGGTACTGATTGGCTGTTCTCCATCTTTGATGTTGCAGGCTAGCCTCTGCCGAGGAGGGTACAGCCGCTTCACCCCCTACTAGCAAGAGACCCGCCCCTAACAGCATTCACACTACTGCCTATTCCAAACCAAACCCTACAGCCCAAACACCAGGCACAGCCACCAGGAGGACAGTGCGCCCCTCCCGGTCAGCGACCGCGCCGCTGGCCCTCCGCGACTCTAAAGCCCATAGATTTTACCTCCAGCCAGCTGGGCTCCCCACCCTGCCCATGACGGTGTGTGTGTCTTTGACCTGGTTTTCCGTATGTCTGAACCTTGGTTCCTATCTTGACTTTGTTGATGTTGTGCTGCCCAAGCCACTGCAGGTACAGTATGCACACGGCGGGGGCCAGCTGGGGAGCACAGGCAGCCCCCACCATTAGCAGTAGCACCCAGAGGATGGCCTGCTCCACACAGCTCCAGAAACACTGGGTCAGGCCTCTCTCACAGCTGCCACAGCCAGCCCCCTGCACAGCCGGCCTCCCCCAGGGTCCACCTGGCTCCGCTACACCCTCCCTGTCCCCACTCAGTTGAGGCTGATGTTTCTAATTAAATTTTTAATGATGACATGGTCACAAGCACATTGCTCTGTGTGTAGGCTACCGACGCCACACCACTCCCCGGGGACTCCTCGGTGCTGCCGTGAGGAAAGGAGATGTAGAGAGTACCCCAGGCCCAGGGCCACCTTCCCTGCTGAGCCCTGGGCCTCCCCAGGACCCGTGCCTGACATGGGGCAAATCCCCCCCTGCTCCATAGGTGGCGCTTTAGCTCTGCAGTGGGCCCTGTTAGCTGGCCTCCGGGTGATTGTCCCTGAGCTGCAGCACCACCCTCACTGTCCCCAGGGTCCATCCGGAAGGGGAAATTCCTCCACCAGAGGCAGGCAAGGAGCACAGGGTACCCTTCCCCAGGTCTCCCATGGCCACTCCAGCATCACTTGGACTGTGTGCACAGCTTCGTGGCCTGCAGGGACCCGCCTTGTCCCACTGTGGGCACCCTGGGGATGCAGGCTGAGCCTGAAGTCAGGCAGGGAGCCTAGGGAGCCGCCAAGACAGGAAGGGCTGTTCCAGGTGCTGGCCCCAGGGCACATGTGTCTGCACCTCCCCAGGTGGAAGGAGCGCCTCCCTCTGGACTACAGGGCTGCGGGGCGCACCTGTCCCACTCCGCAGTGGCACCCTGCCCCACCCCACCCCCCCACTCTGCCTTCTCACCCAGGGCCCCTGCTCAGCCTGTGCTGCCACCTCCCTCTTACGCCCTGCTGCTGCCCAGCCTCCTGCCTGGTGGCCAGACCTGGCCTCCGCTCTCCCCATCCCAGCTCCTTCCAGCCAGGCTCTGCCCCCCCCCCCCACAGCCCTGTCCTGGCCCCGCACACCCACCAGCAGCCTGACTGGCCCCAGGAGACAGGTCTGCTGAGGTCTAGCGTGCAGGAGGGTGGGGGCCGGCAGCCAGGGGCAGGGGCAGGTGCTGGGACCCCTAGCCTGGCTGCTCCTGAGAAACTGCAAGTGCCGCCTTTCTGTTTCTGTTGTAGTGAAACCTTCCACCGTTTCCTTCTCGGACCATGAAGGGCAAAAACAAAAAAACAAAAAAAATCACAAAACAAAAAACAAAACAAAAAAAAAGATGTTAAGATCCAAGCAACAAAAAAACCAACCAACCCAGAGGCATCCAACCGAGTCCAAGTCCGCGTCTGTCGCACACCGCACCGAGGAGCACGGCCCACAGGGCACGTGGAGAGCGGCCCTGCCCAGCTGGCGGCGCTGTGGGGACGTGTCCTTCCCAGCGGGCGCAGTGGGAGAGTTGGAGGGGAAAGGCCTGATGGTGGCCAGCAGGGGCTCTAGCCAGTCTGCCTTCCCCGGCTCCTGCTCCACAGGCGTGGGGCTCAGCGGCGGAGCAGGCCTGGCCTGAGCCAGAAGAGCAGCCAGCAGGACGCAATCTGTTGCCAGCTGTGCCCTGGCGGGGCTGGGTGCGGGTGCAGGGCGGGCCGGTGGCTTGTCATCCCTGGGGCTCCAGCATGGCCCCATCACCTACGTTGCTCCCCGCAGGCCCTGCGGTGCCGTCCGTGTCCTTAGCTGTCCGACCAGCAGCCCTGGGGTCCAACTCCAACGCAAGGGCCCATGTGGCTCCAGAACTCTGGGTGCCCCTCGCCCTCCGCCCCATGTTGAGAGTGCCCCAGCGGCAGAGCAGAGCAGAGCAGAGCAGACGAAGCCCAGTGGACTGGTGGGCCCTGAGGCAGAGCACCTGCACCTAGTGGCCATCTCTGTCCTTTCTTGGAGGGGCCCTGGGCCCGGCCTATGGGACTGAGGCCAACCTGTTGGAACCCAGCCCTCCCCACCCCTCCCCAGCCAGGGAGCTGAGGGGCCAGGGCGGGCCAGCACCCAGCTGTGTTGCCAGGTGGGGAGTCACGGTGCTAGGGTACAGACGAACAAGCCAGGGCAGGGCCCACAGAAGGGGGAGGGAGGCGGGAGGCCAGCTGGGCCACACCCCTCCAGGCTCCTGGCAGGTGAGAGACGTGGGACGGAGGCCGGTGGTGCAGAGAGCAGGTGGCGGTGGCAGCGAGGAGCCCCGGCAAGGCAGGGATAGCTGGAGTAGGGAAGCAGCAAGAAACCCCACACGGGCTCCCCACACAGCTCCACTGTCTCATGAAACTTCAAAAATAAATGACACCTCACTTTCTATTCAGCGTCAGTACCGAAGCTCTGGGACGACCCTCCTTTTCTATTCCCCTCCGCCCTCCGCAGAGCCCCCGCCCTCGGCTGTTCTGGACCCTTTTCTCGCAGCAGCTCAGACCCCTCGCCCCGGCCCCCACCCCAGGACTGCAGCCGAACCCCAGGCTTCCTTTCTTACCATTCTGTATGCTTCCAAGGTGTGACCATTCAAATTAAGATTATTAATAAAGATTTCTTTCTGCAAGCCAGGACAGCTCTTTCTGATTCAGCAGCTCTGGGCACCGGGGGACGCACAGGACTGGGGTGCAGGCTACACCCAGAACAGGCACCTTTTCCCCACCAGGAGGCAATGGGGAGGGGAAAGACCCTCTGGGCAAGAGATTTTAAAGTCCCAACCCTCTTCTCCAGGCTGGCCTTCTGCACCCTAATCGGGGACAGACTGAACCAGCAAAGGGAGGAGTGGCATGGTCTCCTCTCCCGGGCAGCGCGACCTCACTGGGGTAGAATGCAGCCTAGAGATGGGAGGGTCAGCCTGGGCACAGCCACAGCTGTGCTGGTCAGCTGATGCAGAGAGGGCACAGAGCTGGGGTGGACGTGGCACATCTGTGGCTGACGACCCTCCAGGACTCCCAAAGACTCGGCCTCTCTGGCGTGGTCAGCCCGGAACTGTGACCCATGAGGAGCAGCCACGCTTCTCCCACCTCCAGGTTCTGAGCCCTCGCTCCTGCAAGGGTGGACAGGGCCAGAGCAGAGCTGGGAGAGTGGCCAGAGGCAAGTAAGGATGGAGAAGGGGAGGGGAAGCAGCAGAATCCAAACCAAGAGCTTAAGTGCCATGCGCTGGGGCCAGGGAAGGAGCCAGATCTCTCACCAAGACACGAGCTCTCGTTTTTCATCACATTGGATCATTTATTTCAGAGTGATTACACCCACCAGAGGGGCCCAGGCTTAAATGCCGGCAGATTAATTTTCTTGCACAGAAGTTTGTATTGCTGGGACTGGGGACCGTGCTCCTGGGGAGCGGGGTTGCATGGCTCTGCCACATGCCATGCTCCACTAAGCCCCCTCACTTCTAATTGCTTGCTCACCAGACTGTGAGAAAATAATTGCCACTATAAATTTTCCCTTCTTCTCTACATAAAATATTTGGAAGAACCAGCACTTAAAAATAAATAAGTAAAGCCAGGCCTCAGGAAACGGGGGAAACGGGGCACTGACGTGGCTGTTGGGCATCTGGCAGCCAGGGTCCCAAGGCCAGGTGGGCAGCCCGGCCAGCCCTGCACCCCAACGCCTCCTCTGGGCACCCGGGCTGAGCGCGCTCCGGGGAATGGCAAACTGGAGATCCAAATTAGAGAAAGCGGCGAGCAGAGCACATGGCAGGCCGGCAAGAGCGGCCATGGTCTCCCGGTCCCAGAACAGACCGTCCAAGCTGTCTAGAATACAGGAAGGCCAGCACTGGTGACCTCAGTTTTGGATTAGCCAGAGAGACACGGCTGGCTGGCGCCATGTCATACCCCCAGCTGGGGAAGACATGGCCCTGCCCCATGCCCTGGGTCCTCACTTGTCCACCTGAGGGCTGGGTGGCCCTTGGGAGACATGGAAGAACACTCAGTCAGGAAGAAGCATGGAACTCCACTACAGAGAGGACCAGGGAACACGGGGAGGGAGAGGGGCAGAGCTGAGCCCCTGCCCTCTAGGTTCCTGGCCTGGTCCAGCTGGTCAGTCCCCTACACTGGCCACCTGGTGGCCTCTTCCCTTACCACAGATCCCGCCCCAGGTAAGACCTCCAGCTGGGCTCAGAGTATCCCAGCCCCCAGCATAGAAAGAGGACAGGGGCAGAGAAGGTGAGCCCCAACAGTGGCCCTATGTGGCCTGGGGGCGACACCCCTGCAAACCTCTGACCCTGTCCATGATCACAGCAGACTCCACGCAGGCACACGAAGGAGAGCAGGGGCCAGGCTGCACCACTGAGGCGGAAAGACGGTGTCAACGGGCCACAGCCGCCAGGGAGGGGGAAGGCAGAGAGCAGAGGGAAAGGGGCGGCAGGCGCCCCGGGCCACACTGCCTAAGTGGAAGCCCCCTGCGAGCCTGTCACCTGGAGGAGACTCAGCAGAGGCCAAGGCCTGCTGGCTCCCGCAGTGGTCTGGTCAGTGGCAGCCCGCCTCCCCCAGCTGGGGGCATGACGCAGTGCAGCCAGCCCTGAGCTCCATCACCCAAGACACCGTGTCGGCCGCCCTGCCCTGCAGACAGCCCTGGTTCCTGCCCACCACCCTGAGGGCCACCTCAGAAGACCTCCCATGGGCCCTTGCTCTGCTGCAGAGCCTCCCTGCCACCACTGCAGTTGGGTCTTCAGGAACAGAAGGTCACTGTTCTCAGCATCAAAGCCTTTCAGCCTGTCAGGGAACATCCTTTATGTAATTTTCTAGACAAAACCTCCCCAGATCCTTTCCTTTTTCCCTGGGAACTGCGCACTGTGGAGAGGGGTCCCACAAACAGCAGAACCATCAGTCAGCAATCTGCTTCCTACAACCAATGCCCCACCAAAGGCCACAGCTGGAGCTGGGGAGCAACCCTCTAAGGACCTGACCCTCCTGAGTGGGACCTAGGGCAGCTTGAAGCAGCCACCAAAACACCTGGAGTCTTGAGTGAGGGGGAGTCTGCCTTGGGTTGGCTCACCGTGGGGAGGAATAGAGCAGGGCCGCCCTGCCCCACTCCGCCTGAGGCACCAGGAAGCCCTCCCTGGGGACTGGCTCCACCAGGAACTCCACACGGCCATCCTGGCCGGGTCCAGCAGCCTCCACCACCAAGTCCACCACCCGGTACTGGTTGGCAAAAGCCAGGCCCAGGAATGTGGGCTTCTCTGGCCCTGCAGGCTCTCTGCTGGGAGAGTCACTTCTAGTCCCTTCCCAGCAGTGGACTCGGAAGCACCGCACCTGG